TTCCCCAACAAATTGATGAGATCTGATGCCCCTCTCACTGTGATGCCATGCAAAGGTATTACAGCTAAAACCCCAGTCTGCGAACAACTTCATGTCTAAGTGTTGGTTATCAGGATGTATAAAGCATTACCACAAAAATAACCCAGCAGCAAGACTGGAAATGAGGAAATGATCACGTAAAGCAAGTATTTCACCATACATATTCTCCCTACAAACAGATGTGAAACTATGGATTTCACCCGTTGCAATGAAAGAACATCTAGTTCTGGGACTGCATGTGGGATATGCAAGCTCTGGCAGCAATTATTTAGCTTGAAATGAGTAAAAATAAATTAATAGAGTTTCCACTGAATATGCCAGGACAATTATTTTCAGCCTGTTTAAAAATATTCACAGAATGTACTTCAACATAACATCACAAGGACTGACTCAAAAAATACAGTGCAAGCAGGACATAGGCCTGTAGCTCAGGACACTTAAGTAGATTCACTGCTGAATTTGGCCTTGCAGGTAGTTAACAGGCTACAGCAGCGAAAAGTTGTAGCTGGCCTTTACTAACATTTTAATAAAAGGAAAAATATAAAAGGTTTATGACCATTTCTGTCATATTTTCTTTTGTTCCTAAAGCAACATTTTCTGAGTTGTAGGAGGGCTGGGACATGACCCCAAGACTGAGGGCTGCCACTGCTGACATAAATTTCTGTGCTCAGGGACGCCGTGTGCTCAGGACAGCACAGGGGAAGCTGCTCCCCCAGGGCACCAGCATTTCTGATGTCTCAAGAAAAAAGTTCCTTACCTCAAGTTAAAGGAACAACTACAAACTAACTAAATTCTGATTAACAAAAAATCAAAGTCACGTTAAACAATGCATTTGGTGTGAGGCTGCAGTGAGTATGTATTTTTGATCAAGAATAAAACATAATCTGATGAGCTTTAGACATGAAAAAAAATCGAAGATTTTTTAATTACAAAACAGCACTAACGTATTAACATTTCAGAATTTCATATTTTAAAATCCTCTAAGCATTTGCAGTTAAATAACAGAAAAACTTACTGAAACCCAGTGCAGTCCTGTTCTAGCAAGTTCAAATCAATTTATTTTAACATTACATTCATGCAAGTGCTGAACATGGCCAGGTAGATGCATGATGAGATGTCTCTCCTTTTCCAGACATATGCATTATGTTCAAAGCACAGCGCTGGGCACAGCAAAACAGTGATCTAGGCATACGTGCAATTTAAAAAATAAACATCAGAAAACCTGGAATAACGCTCTTACTGGCAATGGGATCCTGCTGTGCTTCTGCACTGACCGCAGTACTTTACAGGTCTTTAAAGGAAGCACAAAAACACAAGTGTGTGGATTATAAACAAAACCGTTTATTGATTTTATGTATGTTTTCAAGGCACTTCCATGCTGCAGTTTAGAACTCCATTTGGTAAGAAAGGGAATCCTTCATAAACCTCATCTTCACTAAATCAAACATACAACTTCAAGGTTTAAGTAAAACAACAAAAAAATTCAAACCAGATTCTGACCATAAACTATGTTCCTAGAATCACAAAAATAATCCATAAGTAGAAAATGTTTTTCTTGGGGATTTTCTAGATTGATTGTTATTTAGGAAACCCAGGATGAGATTCATCCCAGTGAGTTTTTACCATCTCAAAGCTGGACTTCTAGCTGAGCCAGTGGCCTCAGCTCATCCAGACTTGACTCCTCTCACATATATTAAATATCTATGTAAGAACAAGATCAACTGTTCTGTGTCCTCTGTATTGCCCACAGTAAAAGCCTCAATTAATGCAATCAGATTTTTATTTTTTTAACTGAGGATTCAGGGTAGGATATTAAAGCCAAATCCATATGTAGTTATCAGTTACAATATTACCTCCGCATTTTTTACGAAACTCAGTAATCACTGATACAATAGACTTATATCCATATAAAGTTCTCATCAAAACCTTCCATAATATGGCAGGCATTTTGGCACAGTTCTCACAGGAGCACCAACTGAGGGCGCAAACTGGCATACTTTACTGATGAGTTAGACATTTGGCCTCTTTTTATTTAAAACAAACAAACAAATAAATCTCAATGCTTTAAAAACTGAGCCCAATGCTCTTGGTACAATTCCATAATGCCTGATCTACTTGAAATGAACATCTGTTGTCAGCCAAAAGCATTTTGAAAACAGGGAACAAGAGTTCAGCCCATTATGCTGAAGCCAAAAAAAGAGCAAAAATTCTACCACCTTTTCTGTATTTTTCATGTAAGATTTCTTGCTCAGAGTGTGCAAATGCTGAAACTCAAGAATGCCCATCATTGGCATTGAATTGTGGAGTTCTAAGATTTTTTTTACTCAGTCACTATTATGTCATGGTCTCATTTTTTACCATCACCAGCACTACAGCAGCCCTGTGTTCCACCTCCACTGCACCCTGAGCATCACAAATTCAGGCACACCTGTCTTCACAATGATATGTTTAGCAAAATCTTATTAAGCACATATTTCACTTTCATATTTCTGTTCAGCCTGCCACAGGTCCACAGTGTGGATCCTGTCACCAGATTCCAGCAACTTTCAGCACTGCAATATTTTGGTACTGAATTGGAGGCATATCGCTGGGTCTCCTGATAGGTACTGGAGTATGACATCTCTTTTGCTGTTGACAGGAAGATCTCAGTGGTAGGGAAATGTGAGACAGGATTCTTTAAATGTCAGAAAAGTGTTGGACTATAATTCTTTACTCCTCCTTGGAGTGAGGCCTTGGAGGAGGTGTGAAGGGATCAGTTTCCTGCTACCAGCTAGAAGGCATCAGAGGCAGGCTGTAGCAAATGCCTTGCTGACAGCTGGGAAGATGCCGTCATGCTTAGTGTTAGAAGAGGTCTCAGGAAACAGCAAGAGACAGACAGCTGCACCACCACAAAGGATATTGGGGTGTCCCTGCGATGGCTGGCAGCACCATCTCTCTGGTTGAGAGTTTCTAAAAACAGTCCAAAAGATTTTCTTTAGAAAAGCAGAAAAGGTCTACAATGCAGATCTGCCACGGTCCACCTGGGACACCTGAACATCCTAGCCTTTTACACTGACCGCACTCCTTGAATTCAAACCTGCTCACACCGTCCCTGGCATCAGGAAAAAATGGTAATCACAGAGAAAAAAAACCCTGTGTATCAGGGTTCAAAAACATTTTAGTCTGAGCATACACATGGTTCATATCTTTAGTCTCTAGTGCTCCACTAACTTGACCAGCTGAAGATGTGGCTTGCATGTTTTCCACTGACATGGACTCTGAAAAAGGCATTGCTTCAAAACGCACCACAACCATGGCTGACCATGGCAGAGGTGGTAAACAGGATAAAGACTGCATCCACTGCTCCTTTAGTTCCCAGAACACAGCAGTAAGCAGAGCCTTAGTCTGGTTCTCCTCAGGGGGAAAAACATCCCTTAATTGAAACATTAAAGTGACAGAAACACAGCTAACTATCAACAATAAAAAATCATCTAAAACAAAGCAGTGTGAAATGAGTAGCAACAAGGATGTTGAGGCCCATATATCTGTTCTATAAAAGTGAAAACTGCAGTACCTACACTCCAATAAAAATGCTATTCCAGTGTTAACTGAGTGCAGTGCTGACACTGCATCCTGACACTGAGCACAGTGTTTTTATAGAGAAGCTAACTGAAAGCTGTAAGGGTACAAAAATACAAAAATAGATGAGATGTTCAGTGGTTAGTAAGAGACTGGGTACAATCACAGCACCATTCCCTTGAAGTTAGTTCTTTCTCTGAAGTCAACAAGAATTTTGCTGTTGTCCTCAGTGGAAGAAAGAGTGGACCTTAACAGGAGACCGCACATCTCTATTGAGCTTAGATTTCCAAAAATACAAAAATATTCCCTTTGCAAACAAATTATTGCATATTTTACTACCAGAGCAAAATTATAGTAGGTAGTACTTGTCATACAGTGTACAAAGCACGTGTGTTCAGTGTCCTGGGAGATGAAGGGTAAATTGTGAAACTTCAAAATGGGACACGTACATGCTCACAGGATTGTTTCTGTCAGTAGCTAGTATGCAGCACAGGACTTGATTCTACTGTCATCTGCTTGAAAACCCAGACTCGAGAGTTGTGCTTGCTTCACTGAAGGCAGAATTCAGCCCTTTGTCAGGAGCGGGAAATTTTGATACGTGCTTCCAGACACAACCTAAGCCTAAAGATCATTCAGCTGACTGACAGATACACAGATTTTGCAATGTGGATTAGAGGTCATGGATGCATTTTACAAGTCTGTAGACAGTAAAGGCTAGAGTTCGGTACCAAAGGAGGAAAAACAAAAACAAAAGAACAAACAAAATCTTGCAGTAAGAATATTTTACCACAATCCTTATATACTGTCATTGCTGTACTATTGTTCCTGAGTTGAATTCTAGATTTCCAGTTCAGCGACCTGGATGAACACCTGTCAAAATAATCACAGCTTTGTTTCTTTAGTTCTGGCCTCTGAACAGCTTTCAAGCCAAAATGACATTATTGAGATTAACATCTTGGTAACTACTTATATAAAAAGTTGAAAGTTCTTCAAATAGAAGTGGTGGTTTAGGAAAGAATACAAGACCTTTATAGCAAACATTATTCTTAAAAAAAAGTAACTACATTACAGATACATAAACCATGACAGAACATTCTATTTTATCCTTGTCATGAGAAAGAAAAAATATTGCATACACAGGGTGTACTGGAAAACTATGGGGCCAAATTCTGCACCAAATTAGTGGCAATTTTGCTGAAGTACCAACTGGAATCCTATTTTATACCCATTGTAATCACTAATATTTTTATTATTATCATTTCACAGGTATTTGGATTTCATCTAACAAGCAGTGCATCATTTTATCTATAATAAATACATGTATTAAAGAAAAAATTATATGTCAACAATGTGTACTCTCCTTTCCATACTACATTAATTAGTATGTCCAAAACCAGCCATAACTACACCCAGTATTGATTGTGTTTCAAAGTTGGGTTTGTTTTTCGACAATACTGGATCATTTCAGGATCAAGGTTTAAACAGCTGTTTTGCAGAGACGGTTCTACAGTTGGAGAAACGACGACAGGAAGCAGTTGTTCATGTCTTGCTGCCATGAATGTTGAGGCTGTACTTCTCTCAAGCCCCTTCAAGAGAGGAGTCACGGTAACACTGGGTACAGTCAAGCTGCGTTCCGGACATCCATCTGCACTCCTGAGGACTGAATCTGTTTGACTTACGACGAGCGGTTTTGTCTTCTCTTTCTTCTGACACATCAGCAAAATGCACACAGAAATAACAGCAACAATGAGCAGCAAAGACAGCAGGACGAGGGGGATAATGATGTACCAAGGGTTGCTGCTTTCCCCTGCTTGCTCTCTTGGACTTCTTGCATCAGCCTGGGTTGTGGTCTTAGTCCCCACAGATCCACTTGTTCCCACTGCAAGATTTAGCAATGCGCCTTCCTCATGCAGATCTCCCCAGTGATCGGGCCCTGGCCACATGGCTGATCCAGTCTTCTGTGGTGCTACTGTAGGTTCTTCATTCTGAGAGAAGGCTGCTGTCTCATCCTTTGAGGTAGTGTGAATCTTTAAAGTGGTAGGGCTGGTTATGGAAGGCACTTCAGTTATAAAGCCCTTCACAAGTGGAGGACTGTATGGCACAATGGAATACTGAAAACAGCCAACAGCAGGCTGCACAGCATCTGCCCTGAGCATAAACGTGAATGAGTCATTTAACAGATCAATGCCTGTCATATTTGTATCTATATCTAGAAGCACAACACCACTATCGATGTCAGCCTGGGTGAATGTCTGAATGTCTTCGAAGACTGCATCGTTCACAAAGCTTTTCTTTACAATCCTTCCGTAAGATGGAGGCACTATCACTTCAAATCTAGGGTTGCTATTTGTCAAATTAGCTAGCTCAGAAGCATCCAGGTCACTGCTTCTGAATTTATAAGCTGCTTGATTTGAAATCTGCATGTCAGGTACAACTTGTACTAAAGGCTTCACTGTGATGTTCAGCACTTGTCCTGTTAGATTGCGTTCTGCGGTGAAGAGCATAAACTCCAGCACTTCTTTGGATGCAGTGAGATTTGTCAGGTGGTAAGACAGCCTTCCTGAATACAAATCTGCCTGCTCAAATTTAGTAACCTGCTCATTTCCAATCATCAGGTGCCCGTACTTGAGCGGCTGAGTTATTTCATACATTATATCAGTGCTCTTTCCATTTGTGACAGCTGAAAGCTGCACGTTAGTAATAGTGACAGACGTCTGGCCCTGCAGAAGTGCAACGTTGGTAAGGTTGACCAGCACAAGAGCAATTGGTATGACTTCAAGACTGAACAGTTTGTATAAAGGGCGATGTTTACCATCAGTCACGCTGAAATAAAACACCCCAGAAGATGAACTTCCATCCTGTACAAACCAAACTTTTCCACTGTCAACATCAGCTTGTGTGAAATCCTTTATAGGGACACTGAGATTACTTTCCATTGCCAAATAACCATTATTGGGGTTGCTGACAATGGTGTATTTGAGCTCATCTGGGATGTTATCAAGGTCTTCAACTTTAAGATTCTCTGACCTCAGCACGGATACATCGCCCTGCAGGACTTTCAAGTGCAATCTTTTGGTCTTCATTTCTGGAGCTTGGTCATTCACTGGAACAACAGTGATATTAAACATCTCCTCTAAAACTTCACTAGGGGGCTTTGTTGCAGACTTGCTCTTTAGGTTTAACCAAACAGCAAAAGTGAAGTTGTCATTAAGTGATTCAGAATTATCATGTACATACACAATTCCAAATCTGTTCAGTATGTACTGGGAGAAGTTAGGTTTTTCTTTGGTAACGTTTCTTTCTCCAACAACAATCGTGCCGTGTTGGGGTAAAGATAGGACTTGATACCAGACTTCATACATGGAGCGCTGTACCTCAGGTAGCTTAATCAATAGATTTGAAGCATCTAAATTTGTTTTGTTGATTAATACTCTACCTCCTTCCTGGACTATGGCACCTAGTAGAAAGGAAAACAGAATCTTAGAAATTGACTATTTTATAGTTGCAATGTTTCAGAAATCAGATATCAAACACTGATGATGCTCAGAAAAGTTTCTCCTCCATGGTATCCTTGATTTACATCTGTCATGGCTAAAAACATATTACCACTATTTTTAAAACACAGACACATACAAGACACAAGATTTTCTATTGACACATACATTAAGATTAAAGAAATACTGATATCTCAAAGCTTCTGACAGTGTTTTCACCTACCATTACAGCAAAATGGAGAATATCCACTACAGCAGTAGCAATGATCAAACATAGGTTTAAAGGTGCAGTGATGCAGTTTTCCAAGCTACTACCTACACTACACTCTGTGACAAAAAATATTCTTGTCATTTGTTACTGAAGAGAAAGTAGCCCTTGTATTTTCACATTTGTTCATTGGAACCCTGATAGATCCAAAACAATTTGGAGCCCAAACAGTACAGCATCTTTACCTGTATTTGCCAGAAGACAACTGTTCCGATCATGCCTAGTAATTTCATATGAAATGACAATATGGAACACCTGGAGGTCCAGAGCAGATGGTGGAGAGAAGACAGTAAACGTAAAGAAATCTTCTGCACTCCAGACAGCGGACTCAGCATGTAAGTGCTCATACATGATCACACCTTCATCCACCTGTTTAGGGTAAAGAAAAGCCATAGGTATTTTAAACACAGAAATGTAAGGAGAAAAAAAAAGCTCTTAAGAACATTGTTCAAGAGAGGCTTTTGTACCTTAGTCCATGCATAGTCTATATGTAGCCTACACTGAGATTTTCGTGCATTTCTCTTTCTCTGAAAATGGACTCCTTGCTGCCAGACAAGCACAGCTGAAGGTAGGTGAAATGCCACTGGGCATGAATGCTTTAGTAAAGGCCTTATGTAAGGAACAGAGATATAAAACACTGAGAAACTTACCTCAAACTATCAATGGTAATGCGGCACTCAGCTGGACTGTATCTTTAGTGAAACCGAGTATCATATGTCTAGGGTTCTCTCTTTACAAGGTTATCAGGAGGGCTAGACTCACTGCTCAGAAAAAGCACATGAAAGACTGAAGGCTTGAAAAGGACTTTGAAGAGGTGTTTCACCATGAATAGCAAATGACACTTGGTAAGAGACTACGGAAACCAGAAAGAGGTGCATTACTATTGAAATATACGTCCATTTATAATCAAGGAGCTCATGGGATTCCTTAGTGGAAAACTTCTACATCACAGCAAGAAGGGCATTCCTAAGAGATAGGAAGGAACACAGCTCGCCCTATACTTGCTTTTGATGATCTTGCAGATCATCATACTCAAGAAAATCCTGTCGGTCCCACCATAAGGATTTAAGCTTCAAAGCCGAATACTGCAGTCTATCTTCAGGGACACGTATTTATACAAGATACAACTATTTCTCTCTTTAGGCCCCAAAGTAAAAGGCAATATTTTAAGACCAGGATTCTCATCAGTTGGAACTACACCCAAACTTTAAGCTCAGTACCACAATACACTGAAACTACAGCAGTATATGTAATAACCACAAGACCGGAACAGTTACCTGTGGTGGTTTCACCACAAGGTTAGAGTTTAACTCTATGCTAGCAAAACCAGGACATTATAAAATCTCATCCAGTAGAATCAGCATCCAGTCCGCTCGATAGTTCATTCACTGACCTGGAGAGAAGACAGTTTTATCTATTAAATCCTTGGCAACTTCCCAAGCAACTATTGACCTGGCTTGCACGTGCTAGTTTATAATTACCAAAGGGATCCCTGCTCGAGACAGTACTGCTTCAAAATTTACTGTTTGTAACATATTCTACACAGCTTGCAAACACCCTGAAGGAACTCATTAGCACACACCACATATGCTTAAAAGGTGTGAAAAAAGAGAACAAAAAAACATCTGCTGCTATCACGGATGAAGCACTTTAGCATTAGAGAATCTAAGCTGTGACTACAGAGTACTCTAATCCTGAAGCTACTGCAACAGCCCCCACTAGGGAAACAGGGCTTTCAGGGTCAGTTTTCTCAGCAGCCTCAAACCCACCCTATCTTATTGTCTAAAATATCAGACTGATGTGATAAAATCCTGTACGCACATCTCCAGGTTCATGATTTCCCTCTAGTGATTTAATTCCTAATGGCTATTATAGGTCAAAATAAACAAAATGGATAATGAAAGGATACACTGGTTCTGGATAACTTTCCATAGCATGCCTCTACAACTTCAAGTTGGAGAAGGAAAATGTTTGTTATACGAACAGGCAAAATACGCACCCTTTAAATTCAACGGTGTTTAGTATCAGTCTCACTATGGTGATCTTTTTTTGTAATTGCAAGCTCATGCTAATACCTGGGCTAAGAAGACAATGGAATTGGTAAGGATTTCTGTGTTTACCTTTGCAATTACTTTAAATATAATGAAGAAATTGTGGCTTGCTGCCAGACGAAAATAGTTCTAAGACACCATAGAAAGAACTGGCAGTGAACAAAACACAATCATCATGTTGAAAACTACTGTGTCATTCCAGAGCATTTAATGTGCAATTAATTTTCTTATATTGGCTGAATAACAACTGTCCATGAAAAAATTCCTTGGAATGCAACAGTGATTTCAATTCTTTTTTTTTCTTTTTTTCCTTTGGCAACAAAGCAATAAACCACAGGGCACAGGGAAGAGTTCAGCACCATAGCAAAAATGCTACCTACTTTTACAAGTTAGTCGCATTGTACTTTTCAGAAGTGAAATATCAAGTTCCACAATACAGAATGAAGCCAATGATGACCAAAGAACCAAACTAATGCAAAATATTTCCAATTCAAATCAGATATACAAACTTATTATTACCAAACAGAAACCAAATAAAGAATGTTTGTAATATTAATGTCATTTTCTCACTGGTACTTAACTTCATGTGGCCACAACATGCTAGACAGTGAAAGTTTATTTAGGATCTCTTTTCTCTCCCTTATACATCTTTATCTACCAAAATAAATAGCAAGCTGGTTAGGATACCTTAATTCTACCTGCAATAAGTCACTTTGCTCTACTTGTTTGAAGTGAAAATGGCCAATATAAATACCTCTGATACAGAAAAAAAGCATACACACTATTACAGCTCAAATCCTTACACGATTTACAAAGTTCAAAGGAAGGTTAGCTATACATTAGTAAGAACTAAAACTATAGAGAGTAAGTGGCATGTTCTGACGTGGCACTGTCTGATAAACATATGTGAAGATCATATCCCCAGGCAAAAAGAGTAAAGCTTCAAAACCTTAGCTGAAAGATTTTCTGTCTGACATGCTTAACTGTTTCATCTAATGCTCATAAAAATCACAAATTTTAGGAATAGAAGAGTGTCATTACACAGTTCAACTCCTTCATAACGTAAGACAAAACTCAGTGACTATTGCAGCAAGACCAATAACACAATTAGAATATAGTTTTAAGAGAAACATTCTGTGTGTGTCTGTTTTGTTCCTGATTTACAAAATTCAAGTGGAGATTCATTCCACTACAGTCCTTGTCAGGTTGTTTCAAAGTTTGATGATAACTAACAAAAATGTCAACCTTTTTTTCAGGTTTTATTGGTCAAGTTTCAACTTCTGGCCAATAGATTTTCTCATTCCTTCATACCCTAATTCAAATAAACACTTTTAAAATCTGTAAATGTACATTAAGACCAAATTATCTCCTAATTTTTCCTCCAGCAAAGTCAGGAGCTCCTTTTATCTCCCCCACTTAGTTATTCTGAGAATAACTTACCGCATGCAGAGCACACAGTTATATTCAAATTCTGCAAACAGACATAAGTGATTTCTTTTCAGTTGCAAAAGAATGTTTTCCATCAAGTTACATGAGCTGCCACATTTTGGTCATTCAAGTGTAAGACCCTGTATCACAGTTAAAATTCTTTAAACACTTAATATCACAGCCAATCAAGTCAATAAAAGTGCTCTTGGGACACCCATGAGGACTATGTACAGCTGAAATGAATCTCATACTTGGACTTTCACAGTGCAAAAGGCTATTCCTTCTGCCAAAAAGTAAAGGCTTCCAACCTTGGACTGCTGGTTAATGGCACCAGAGCAGCTCTTCTTGAAACATACTGTTACAAGCAAAACAGTGGAAATTGCCAAGACCCTGCTAGTATCCAGCAGAGGGGAACAAAGGCTCCTGTTGCGTTCATTACTAGATGCCAGATACTTAATGACACAGCAAATCTGGGAGATTGCACTGATGGGTCACATATGCCTGGGTTACTTAACAAATATAAATGGAGCAGACAAAGAACCACCAACTGAGATGCCCTTTGAAGTAACAATCTGACCTTGAACTAGTTATTATAAAGCAAATACTTACCATAGACTGTGTAAAACTGAGGATTTCCTGAGTGGTATTATCAGAATTTACTCTGATCAGCCTTCCAAGTTTTGGGGAAGTTACAATCATAAAAGTTATAGTTCTGTTTCCGGCATTGGTCACATCATTGGTTACAGCTTTCAGATCATGTCGTGAAATAGGTTTCCTGGAACCTAAAAAATGTCAATTATAAGTAACATAGATTTGCAAAAGCAATTTTTCCCAAAGGCTAAGTTTCATATGCACAATTCACCCTCTCATCTAGGTATTCTAATTAGCATTTTAATAACATTTTATAAGATCAGTAGGTTTACCCTTTTTCTAGTTACCTTGTAGCTACAACTCTTCCACAGCTTTTTCAATCAAAAAGCCCATCAGTAGGATGTACCTTTCTTTCACAGAAATGAAAAAAAAAGGTTCAGTTCTCTTCTGCATGTATAATTGCTAAATATTAGCTTCTGCAAAAACAACCCAAAGTAAGACTAGAACATGTACAAGAAGCCTGTTCCTGTATTACGTGTCTAGAACTGGATTCGAACTCCAGCTGAAGTCACCATTGTTAATATTTTTGGCAATCCCAGTTGCCCACAGAAAGCAGGGTGATTCGTCAGGGAGTAGCCTTAACACAGCAAAGTTGCTAGTGAACACACAAGCCAAAATAAATTATTACTAGATGTTTGAACCACATTTTATTGATATGAAAGATTATTTTCATAAAATGAAATTAAAAAATAAATACCAAATTAAACCGATTAGGAAGAACATTGCACAACAGAAATAATGTCCTGAATTGAAATTAGGTATTATTAAGGTAGATGGAGACTGAAGGGTAATAAAATCCTTTTAATACATAGCACCACACTCATCGGTACCTTCTGGCTTAAACATTATAAAGATTATAAAGAGCTTTCTGGCATTTGGTCAAACCAAGATAATTTTTGACATAGTTGTGACAAAACCAAATCTAGTAATTTCCTAAAAGAAAAAATAAGTTTTATTTGGCTTTTTTGATGCACTCTTTCATGGTACACACTCAGCTAAGATACTTTTGGAGAAGCAATAGATTACCATAATCCTATTCCTCCTGCCCCCACTTCTGCCTCCATTTTCACATGTTCTTTTGTTCTTGAGCATCCAGCTTTTGTATGTATCAACACACAACTTCAGATACTAGCAGTATATATCCCTGAAGTCTGAATTATCAACCCATCTTCAATAAAGCATGATGTTTTTACAGGAATAACACAAAATAACACATTCCTG